TGTCGATATGCACAATGCCTAGTATATATCATTTATAGATAAGAATATTGGGATACCTAATCTCATTCAGTCTCTTAATTTTTATATCTTAGTATTAGCCCAGAAAATGGTTTCACCATCGGTAGTTTTCTTTGAGTTTCATTTTCGTGAACATATTACTCGAGTGGAATATTAACGCGCAAGTTCAAATATTGCATTGGTTGATACGAACAATGCCTAGTAGTTTATAGATAAAAATCTTGAGGTATTTAATCTCATTCGCTCTCCTAATTTTCGTTTCTCAGTATTAGCCCTACGAAATGCTCACAACTGGTGGTTTTCTTTGAGTTTCATTTTCGTGAACATATTCTCAAGTGGGATATTTATCGCTAATTTACAACATTATAAAGGTCTATACCCAAAATGCATAGTATTTATCTTTTACTTATAAAAATATTTGGGTACCTAATGTCATTTCCTATCCTACATTTCATCTCTCCAACCTAATCAATGACAATCAACTTTAAACTCAATTGCTAAGTGATGTGAAAAAATCTCAAATACAAGTCAAGAATTTTGAATTAAAGAAGACAAAAATCTAAGAAATGTCAAGAATAACTATAAAAAAATAATATAAAAATATTTGTGATGTCAAATTTTTTGGTAAAAACAATTATATAAATACAACTGTAACTACTAATTATAAGTATATCTAAACAAAGAAGGCAAAACAACCACCACCCCTCAGTTGTTCACAAAATGGACCAAAAACATTGATGTTTTGTCCATATTTTCCTTTGCATGCGGTGCTTACATGTTGTCTAGAGAGCGACTTCCTCTCCGCCCAATTCTCTTCAATTTCTCCTTTTTGGTCATTACAATCTTTTTCCTCGTCGTCCGATTTCTGGACGGCGAGGCAAGCGAAACCGCCTCTCTCTCCGCCTTGTGCTACCGCCACCTTTTGTTTTCTTGTTTATCTTGGTAAAAAATGGCGATCTTAAAACCCTTTCAACTTTTAGAAATAAACATCATTTCCGCACAAGATTTGGAGCCCGTTTCGAAGAAAATGAAAACTTATGCAGTTGCATGGGTGAATCATCGTCGAAAGCTTTCGTCTCATGTTGATGCGGAGGGAAATACAAATCCGACATGGAATGATAAATTTGTTTTCAGGGTTGATGAGGAATTTCTTCGACAGGATACATCTGCTGTTATGATTGAAGTTTATGCTGCGCATTGGTTCCGGGATACCCTTGTTGGCACCGTTCGAATCCTCGTCGGGAACCTAATTCCGCCTCCTACTCATCCACACCGCCGCCGTCAAACCTTCGGTGGAATGCGGTTTGTTGCACTTCAGGTTTTTACATGTCCTTTTGTTGTTCAGATTCGAATCATCACAATTCACATACATGCAATCATTTTTGTGGTTTTTGCATTTGATGCATTGATGTTGTGAGCTAATAATCTTACATTATCTGTCATTTGATCCAATGTTATAGCTGCCTTCATGGCATTTGTGGTTGTAAATTATTAGAAATCATGAAGATATACAACAATCTTGCATTTGAGATATCGCTAGTGATTTCTGGATCGATGTACGCTTGTTTCAGGTACGTCGACCTTCGGGACGACCACAGGGAATATTGAACATTGGTGTGGCCTTACTGGACAGTTCAATGAGGAGCATGCCATTGTACACACAAGGTGCCTCGGCTGTTGGATTTCGCAATTTGATGGAGGACCCAAATCTCAATAACCATCGTCAAAAAAAAGACGATGAATACAACAATAATCAGGCACCGACTCTCAAGCCGATACTGCGTCGCTCGAAAAGTGAACGTAGCGAACTCTTACACTTGGACAATTATTCCGACACAAACAGTTCCCTGGTAGCAATCCCGAAAAAGATGGATGCTAGAGGAAATGGCGGGTCGATGCTGAGTATATCGGAAGCTGGGGAGACTTTCATTAAGAGCAAGAACAAGAAAGGCAAGGCGAGTTCAGTTATCAGTGGCGCAGAGCTTCGGGAGAAACCGAAACAGAAAGGTAAGAAAGGAAAGGCAAGTTCAGTGGTAAGTGATTCAATTGTTAGCAAAGAAACCTCCGTTTATGACAAGATTTCAAAGCCAGATTTGAAGAACAAAGGCCAAGGAAACGTGGACAAAAATAACGAAAAACCGAGGAAGGAATTGAATGGCGCCGCACCAGCAAACAAGGTGCTTGATGAGAAACTAGGTAAGAAAGTTGGGGGGCAAGCTATAGAGAAACCACCAGTAACAACCATTGGAAAGCCTGTTTCGAAGTTCAATGGATATGAATATGGTGGTGCACCAAAGGGTAACAAATTTGTGATAGGAGCACCATTCAAAGCTCATTCAATTTTTTCCGACTCGGAAGTCGGGCCCCCACCGTCTGAGGTGGCAGCTATGATGGCTGAAAGGAAGTATCCTCTGGATGATAATCAGAGCTCTGTGTTGGATGGTTGGAGCTTAGATGAAAGTGTTGAAGGGCTTAAATCCAAGTTGGAGAGGTGGCGAATGGAGCTACCACCGTTGTATGATCGAGGCTTCTCTACGAGCAGCTACCAATCGAAGTCAAGTTCTCGGCCAACCCGGAGGAAAGCTGATAGTAGCATTGGCTTATTCTCATGCTTTGGCAACATCTGTGGGTACGAGTGCCAATGCATTTGTGGTAAGCCTCCCGGGAGGAGTATGAGCTCAAGTAGGTTCCGTAGCCCGGCTACCACTCCGGGCCGGTCATACCTTTGAGAAAGAATAAATTCAATGCCAAATTAAACATGTTATGACATGATTAGATAGTTTCGGTCATACCTTTGAGAAAGAATAAATTCAATGCCAAATTAAACATGTTATGACATGATTAGATAGCTTTGGACATTATTAAATAAGAACAAACTATTTATACTGTCCACTATGATCAAATATTGTATACCAAACATCCACTTAGTATATTTATCGAGGTGGGGTTAGTGCCTCACAAATTACCTCTATTGACCAAGAGACTTCCCATTGATTGATTTAGATTTGTGTTTGGGAGAAAATTCAGACTTTTGAGGCACATGAAAGCCTAAGGCAAAGATATGACGGGACAAGTTAGGAAATCAGTTTTAAGTATTCTTTACTTTCATGTCTTTCTTATAACTATGTAATGTGTCTGGTTTCTTAGAGTAATGATGTAAGAGATTTCTTGTCAGTCTAAACAAATAATTGAATTCTTTCCTCTTGTACTTTTCCACTGTCCTCTAAATATGCAATTTCCAGTTCCTCTATTGTGTTTTTTCCGTGCAAAGGTGTACTTTTATTAGTAAACGTAAATTTGTGCCTCAGATTAAAAGATTTTTTCCAGAATTAATATTATTTCATGTATTAAATCAAAGAACCAAAGAAAAGAAGTGCAAGCTGTAATTGTACAACGGTCGATTAATCTTGCAAGTGATGAAAATAAGGCGTCCGTTGTCTCTTTTTCTTGCAAGCACGTATCACTCTCAAACATGGAGCAGCACCAACTTATGTATTGTTGCATCAATTATCACATTCACATGTCACGTGCCCTCATCACTCTTGAACTCGGACTAGCATCACCTAACATGCCATTGCACCAATTATCAAACTCAAGAATTTCAAGAAAATAAGATGAGAGTCTGGATATGGAAGTGTGAGGATTCAGATGTATTCATCATGTATATAACTACCTTGAAGCATCAGCTTTTGGCATTTAATTTCTCCAGAAGGATCTTGTTCAGAAGTGCAGGATTAGCCTTGCCTTTTGATTCTTTCATTATCTAGTAATTGTAAGGAAAATATAAAAAGGATTAAAAAAAAAGCCACCGGAGCAAATACTAATGAAAACAATGTCGAGCCCCAGATAATAGAAAAAATCTCTTAAATTGTACGAGAATTGTACCTGGCCAGCAAAATAACCTTGTAGCTTAGTTTTACCCCCTCGATATTGCTCTAACTGCTTTGGATTATCTGCAAGGACTTTATCCACCATCTTCTCAATCTCAACAGGGTCTGCAATCTGATTTACAAGAAAATGGAAATCAGTCTTTCTGCTCGTCATATGCTTACATTCCCAATGATATCACCTTTATCACATCCACAATTATGTTTTACTCTTGTATCAACTTAATGAAGTACTAAAAGTCAAAACAATGAGCATGAAAAGTGTTAAAAGAGTGTTCTGCTGATTGTACCCAAAAAATGTCTTGAACCATCTCACATTGGAAATATGGAGTCCCTATCACAAGCATACCACTTTTGTGTGCTGGACTATGTAGAGCCTAATCATATTGTTCACTTACCCCCTCAATTGCAAAAGGTCGACGAATGGCGGGAGTCACCTTGGCAACTTCTGTATCCAAGGGAAGATTTGGGATAGTCCAGACATGTATTAGTTCACCCTAATATACTTGCCATATATGAAGGATTTTAGAGAGTCCATTTTAAAAGACAAGATTGGCATGAGATCCTTTGGATGCTTCTTTCTTGTAGGGAAAATATGAAATAACAAATGTCTTAGTTCTCACATTGAGGACAACTCACCAACACAGATGTATCAGTATATACTGTTTTCTCACTCGATTTCATTTGATTGTACATCCAATCCTATCATTCCATATCTGAAGAGGGGCCGGACAGACACAGCAGGCACATTTATGAGAAGCACTTAAGAAACTATACATGCATGTAACCTATTACATTTTAATATTGAATATTAATGATTCGTTTGCTGCATAATCTATTTAACAGTAGCTCCAATTCCATTCGTTCTTCAAATTCTCAATTTTTTAGTATATGGAACTTATCCCACCCCAAAGGCTCCTGACTCGAAAGAATAATAACATGGCCCATAAACCATAGACCAGCTTGAAAAAGTGAAGATATTGTTTGGCACTGAATATAGAAAATTACAACTAAAAATTTAGGGGATTAGCAATGCATTTGACAGTTTGCAGATTATGTGGCAATCATCAGGATAAATAAATTTATTGGTAGCATTTGAATTGGCATGAAAGCCAAGTCAATCTAACATTTATCCCTTGTTCGGTAGGAATTAGAATCTAGATTTTAATTTAAGTCAAAGTCAACAATTAATTTTAACCACATATTTAATTGGATTCACAACTTTTCAGCCACACATTTCATTAACTTTTATCAAAATCTACTAAAAAATAGATTTTAATCCCCACCAAACAGGGGCTTTGATTAAAAGTTCTCAAAAATATAATTTAAAGCAACAAAAATGATAAGCAAATAAAGTCAGAGACATAATGAAATTTGACTTGCCTGAACCAAATTCTTCTCTTTTATCAGCCCTTTTACAGTTCCACCCTTTGCCATCAACTCGAATAATATCTGCAAATTTTATCCAAAAGCACTGAAACACAAGCAGAACCTAAGTTATCTACAAGAAAATATAGTGCATACATATAGATGTCCAACATCTCCCAACCTTTCCTCCACTTGTATGCACATGTGTGATTGGTTTCTCGACTCAAAATGTAGTTCTCATTGGATAACCAAATCCAATAATACATTTAACTTTATAACTTTAGAATATTAAATGGACAAATTGATGAGGACATCCTTTATAGTTGGACTTTTATTATTGTTTCAGTATTTTAGTTGGACTTTTATTTAAGTTTACGTATTTTAATTAGGACTTGAATAATGGGCTTGGCCCTATATTTCTAGGTTTTCATTATTTAAACCTATCATTGGTTTGTAATTTCTTAGTTGATGAATTGATTAAGAATTATAAAGTTGGCTTGGCCGTTTTCTCTCCTCCTCCTCGTTTCTGTCTTCTTCTTCTCTTCTCCTCCCCTTCCCTTCTTGCTATTTACTAATTCAGTAATCTCCCTACATCAAATTGGTATCAGAGCAAACTTGGGAAAACAGTTCGGTGTTCACTGCGTGGCTCCAAATCAGTCTCTGCAGAATCCAGTTAACACTTCACCGTCTTTGCATGTGTTCCAGTGCTCATAATCAATTTCGGCAGACTCCAGTTTAACATCACACCGCCTCCTGCAACTGCAAATCCCCCCCAGAACCGCCGCTGCAATTCTCCCCACCGAAAGCGCCTCCTGCCCGCAACTGTCAACACCCAGCCCCACCACAACCGCCGCTGCAATTCTCCCCAGATCACATCCAAACACATCACCAATCCAACCGCTGAAATCAAAGCCTCACAGTAAATCAAAAATTGAAGCAAACTGTTCGGACTTACAGAAAGGGAACCCGCCTCTCAAGCTCGATCCTCCGTCGTTCACAAAGAGAGACCCCTGAGACAGAAGTAGTTGGAAACTGTCGATTCTATGAAGAAGCCGCCAACAGTGATGGGTGGTACCGGACTCGACGACACGCAGAGAAGGGTTCACGTCCGACAACAGTGAACACCGACAGCCGAATCAGCGACAAAGAGAAAGACGCTCACTGCCACATTGAGGAATTATTAATTAAGTGGGTTTTGGGTTAATTGGTTTAATAATTAAGTGGGTTGGGT